GTTTGACCGACGTCAGGGGAGTTTGACCAAGCATTGACCGGCAGGTTTGACCCGGACGTTGACCAAGACCTTTGACCAAGCTGGAGTTGGTAACATCKCGACAACCTTAAGCATATCCCCTTGCCCTATGGATGTGCARATAAACCTTGGTACTTGTTGAAGTGTCTGTCAATYGTCTCCTATTTCTKTGCCAGTCACTTTTGTCTTAGGTGTAGGAACTTTGTGGATGAGGTCATAGAGCCGTGGTCACCAAACCTCCACGGGTCTTAGTAGGGCTAAAGGCCGTGTTTGACGACTGACTGACCTGGSAAAACACCCCAAGGACCGGTACTTACCGGCAGGCTGCTCAGTGTGGCATGGTAGGCCCGAACTCCGAGTTGTGGGCTGTACATCCGGTTGTCTACGTCTTGAGAGGACTCTGCTGATCRCGTCGTCCTGTTTGCARCRTTAAAGAATTCCTGAGGAATTACGGGGGATCTCCTTAAATGCCTCCTGATCAGCAATAGACTRGTAGGTCTAYGTGTTGAGGAGTGGAATCATCCTTRATTRTGCTCTAACTTCACGATGGTGACCACCAAGGCAGGCACTTCCACCACTCCTTACAGTCAGGCTCAGGAAGAGAAAGTCACCGCTATACTGAGGGAAAGGAAGGAAAAGTAGGAGAAGAAGGAGCTGATTAAGCAGGCAAAGATGTTGGCTTTGCGGGAGGAGCAGGCGGCGAAGAGAAAGCAGCTGGAGGAGGAGATTGAAAGGTTGAAGAAAGAAGAAGAAGAAAAGATGAAGAAAGTAGTAGCGGAAGTAGAAGAAGAAGAAGAAAAAGAAGAAGAAGATGAAGAAGAAGAACAAGAATAAGAATAAGAATAAGAAGAAGAGACTAAGGAGGAGGAGACTTCACTTAAAAGGTTGAAGAGAGTCCCAGAAGGAACGACCCAGGAGAGGAGAGAATCCACTGGGACATAGGACCATGAGGAGCAGATCAGTAAGACGGTGAAGGAATGGGCAGCTAACCTGGCACTGGGGGAAGAGGAGGAAGCAACATTATTTGCCCCCCCCTCCACCCCCCTCCATCCTCCCCTTCTATCTTTATTCTCTCGACCTCCCTGTACCCCGATCTTTGCCCCCGACTTTCCCCCTCCCTTACTCCCTCCCTCCTTCGTACCCTGCCCGTTCTCCCTCAGTACACGCCAGTGCACGACCCTGCAAGCCAGCACGCAGCCCTACAAGGCAGCTCACAGCGCCACAAGCCGACACGTAGGACCGCTGGACCAGCATTGCCGCACTGCGTGTCCGGCGAGAAGCACCGCAAACCAGCACAGCGACCCAGTAAGCAGTGCAGCGAGCCAGAACAACGCGCAAGACAGACGAACGGAAGGAGAGAAGGAGGGGAAGGATGAAAGGTATGACGAGGGAGAATAGAGTTAGAATAGAAAGAGAGACACCCCACCCTAATCCACGCACCTCATGCCGACGCTAAAGATGATAATGCTGATGATGACACTAATAATACTGACGAAACTTACCTTTGTACAAAACTGATAATGATGATGATTAATGATGCTGATTGCTGCTGCTGCTGCTGATGATGATGATGATAAGGATACCTACTCACGTGTCACTGAAGATGATGAAGATATTGGCAGTGATGATGATCCTCAGTGGATGAAGCGAACAGGAAGACGATCAGCCGGCCAGTAACCTCGAGTAGCCCTCGCTCTTGTAATGAACCCTTGAGTAGATTTTGGACTTCACTCAATGAGCACCCACTCATTTCCTCCCAACAATCCGCCTCCCACCCCACGGGGACACACTCTACTCTTCTTCTTCTTGCGGCTAGCCGACCTCCTCCACCACAAATTTGCAAGACAAAGAGTAGAAGTGATCTCTCCTTAA